GACATTTTTTAAATTCATATTATGTTAAGAGCAGTTGCCTTACGCGTGAATCAACAGAGGTAACAGGGGCAAATAGTGAAAAGGGGCCATTTTACTCGTCAAAATCAAATAATTCAATTTCCTCAATTGAGGCCTAATAAAAATGCAAATTCTAATACCTACAGAACAGCAACAGTCTCACTTTCTCAAAATTTGCGTGAAATGCACATCGAACCGGTCCATTATATTGAAGATTTGATGCCAGGGTCTTCCCACCGAAAGTAAACGATTGATTTTCGATACTGTTACACTTTTTAACTTGAAACGTCAAGCAAATTTGAAATTCCGTTTGTCACGTCATCTGTCGGATGACATGGATGCATGGTTGCCGTTGTCATTTTCCACAACAAATTTATATCATCATGACGTCATTAGGAATGTTTCTTCGAATTTATAAACAACTACAATAAATCCTAGTTGCAGTGCAATTCAGGCAAATTTCTGCTAATCTTCAACGCTCTTTCTACCTACAATAAATCAAATAAAAATTTTTTTAAATTTTGTTATAGTTCTTTCAGATGCAACCTCCACAGAGTTTCTCAACACATCGCTGACGCGAAACTCCCCCCCATCATTCATCGGTCACAAGTCCGATCTGCTGGAGTCGACCATAACCAGCAGGAGCTACCAGGACACGCCCTACTGCCCGAACAGTTGGACCACGCCCTACCACCCGACGACCTGCAATAACAACTACTACAACAACACCGCCTACAATGCGCAACACTTCAACACGCCCAGCCCTGCTGTGGTGTATCCTGCGATCATTTCCACAGTGAACCAGAACCAGATCCACTTCCATCTCCATCCCACAGCCAGCGATGTGAGCAGGAGCGAGTATTTCCTGCCGGATAGTGTCAGTTCGGAGATCCCGAGGGTCGATCTGGTTCCGACTACCGTTCGCGAAGTGGCAACAGCGCATGGCGTCACCGCCTCCATGCAGGAGGGTGCGAGGGAGGAGAACGCTGTCCAGGACCCGAGCAATGTGTGGAGACCCTACTAGCCGAAGCTGCCTCGATGAGTTTAACATGCGGTTTTCGGAACTTGATCTCGAGTGAAATGTCCAAGCCAAAAATGCACTTTTTAGTTGTAGGAACAAAGCAATATCGGGTCTAGGATGCGTGGAATGCTGGTTTAAATCAAAATAATCTAAGTCATTGCAGGCATGCACAGACCTGCCGAATGTGTTAAATCAGAATCTCCTATTTATGGTTTTATTAGATTTATATTTGTTACTTTGTAAACTAAGGCGTAGTAGTGTAACTGTCGATTAGCTAGCGATGAAAGAGTGGTAGTTTCCTAATGTTTCTGTAAATTTGTCAAATAGTGAATAATATTGATTTCAAACTACTGTGTTGTATGTACTTCCGTCAATTATATTTAAGTCTCCGAAGTCGCCAGTTCAACTACCGATGGTGGCGCTGCGAAACGTCAAATTACTCGTCGAGTGACAGTTGAGACTTGTCAGACTTGCTTATTGATGACATAAGAACAAAAGTCCAGACGCCGTCCCCCTGGTGGCTAAAATTACAACTAAAAGTTAAGTAGTAATTTGACACGTGCTTTGTTGACATCTGATTGTGATTTGTTTGGTTTGGTTCTAATCAACTTTTGCAAGCTTTTAAAGAAATAGAAACAGATCGAAAAGTGTGTAAGTATTGTTTTACGTTACAAATGTCATCAACTCCAATGTATATAATTTCCTGACTGTGTTTCAATTCCAAATCAAATTCATTCCTGGGTTTCAGTCATTTATTGTCTCGATCAATAATAAAACAAAACGAATAAAATACTGAGTATTTTATTCGTTTTGTTACGTGATAATGGACAAAATTAATAGTCCAAATGCATGGCTTAAAGCAGCAACAACGCTGCACATAAAAACTGATGATTGTGGAAAAATACACCGAAACGTATTTTGATTGATAAATAGACAATAAATGACTGAATCCCAGGAATTCATTTGATTTGGAATCAAAATACATAAATAAAGTGCGTCACTCAACGAAAAATCCGCTTGAATAATCTAAACTAAAGGAAGTGGATATGAATGGAATCTGACAGGTGGTGGCAAGTACAGTCCTGTTAAAGCAATATGTATTTATTCATTCATAAATCAATCTCTGGCTTTTCGTAAACAAACCAATCAGATCAATAGAAAATATGAAAAATAAAAACGTGATAGAAAACAAATTCTCGTGACATTCCGTTAAAATACTGTACACAAATGTACAAATGCGATATATTAGTTTAATTTAAGGCTAAATAATAATAATAATAATAGTAAGATAATGGGTTCACAAAAAATGCGATTAAAAAAGGGAAATATTTACAGGCTATTTTACGCGTAACATCAATATTGAACATAAATATTATTTATAACAAAAATTATCCGCCTATCAACGCCACCTGTGCAATATATTCATATTCATATACAATTCAACTGATAAACATTTAAACTAATCAATAACAATACAGGGCGGAAAATCCCCATCATCTATTATATACACAGTTATAAATAAATCACAATTCCGCTTTTCAATAGATCTAGTAAAGTTACACCAATTTTAATAAATTTCTGTCTCAGGCTCAATGAAAGATAAAACGATGACACTATTTTAACATCGATTTGAAATACAAACCGATACTTTTCTTGATTGAAATATCCATTGTATTCCAGTTAAAAACACATGAATCATAAATAACCGGACCATTTCGCGTACAACCCTAAAATAGTGAGTGCTTCTAGCATTCATCTGATATGCATCGGTTGCAATTGTGCTTCAATCAATCTTTTTTGTACTTAATCTTAAACAGGACCTTAGAATAAACTATACTGAGTATTAAACATTACTTAAACGTACCTTGGAATTATGTGCACAGTGAGTGAAGTCTACAAAAATAAACCTCTAATCTAACACAAAGTGTGAACTGCTGAACTGACTAAACTAAACTTGAGTTTTACTTCAGTAACACAATGCTGGTGCGAAAATGTCCGAATCGTGTTCGATTGATTGTTGAAACAAAGTCCAAATATTATTGAATTTCTCACCAACCAACGAACAATTCGGGACCCTAAACGTCTGCTTTCTAAAGCGTCTTCAATTGAAGCTGAGCGTTGCAGTGTTATAATTGAGTAACAAGTAGGCACTTGGTGATTACAATAGTGGACTTAAAGGCACTTAGCAGTCTTCAAAGCGTACTACTGTTGGCCCATTGAAGCGATGAAAGGTAGGTGTCTGCTCAACAGATTGAGCATACATCACCTAGAGGCACAGTTTTGAGATAACGTTCGCAGGGGTGGGAAATACTCAACTCAAAAACGCTTGATTCGCTTGCCACCGGATCGAGGAATGTTTTTGTGAAAAATGCTTACTTACCTTAATGCTTCTATCATTCAACGGCGAAGCCGCAAGTTTCCTCAACTGCTTGAGTCAGTTTTTCGTACAACGCCTGGTACGTCTCATAGGGCGGGATGTCTATTCGGTTAAAGCAGGTGTGGGCCTTCGGAAGGTTCTGCGGTGGAGCTTCAATACAGTGAATCGTGAAAAGACGTGGGCCTGCTGCACCGGTACTGCCTAGAATTAATCAAAGTTCGGGTTTAATGCCGTAAACTATGTAAAAGCCGTCAGTTACTTGCCTTGCAAGGCCTTAAACCCTTGGAGCGGCACTCGCGAGCTGCCAGTGACAAACTGCAACAACCGAGCACGCATCTCTTCTGAATAGGACTCGACCACTTGCCAAAACCATTGCACAACTGGCGTTTCAGCAGTGCAATGCTTCATTCTAGTATGAGAGCGCCAATCAGCTATGTCGATTGACCCTAGAAATCAAAGAAAAACGTTCTTAATCTTCAATCCGGATGCAGTAAAATGTTACAAAGTCCTTACCAATTCCACTAATCACCAATTCCAACTCTCTTTCATCAAAAGGCCTCAACGAGGCGGGTGGAATGAGCTCGATGAACCCTTTTTGGAGCGCCAGGAACTGCTGCTCTATGCCCCTCATGAATCTGTAATTCACATAGAGCTTCACATACTCTCTTTTGTTGTCTTCGGTGACTGTTATGCTGGAGCCTCCAGTTTTCAGTTCGTGCACTTTCACCACCCCAAAGCTGTTATTCTCCACGGAGAAAGAGGTATCCAGAACATCATCGATGTTGTTTTCGCTAAACAAGGACCAATTAATTGTACGAAGACGTATTCAGAAACGGTGCGACCACTTACAGCATCCAAGTGAGACTTCTGTGCAACTCGGGGTCGACCCCCTCAATATCCTGCAGTGTAATTGGCTTGTTCAGCAGCTGTTTGTAGAAGGGGAGCGTAAAACCGCCCTCCAGTTGGTGGTTATGGAACACTGCTATCCCCAATATCCGCCCGACGAAATGAAAGTAGGACAAATGCTCGGGATTGACGGAGGAATCGGGATTGATTTGCAACGTGTAGTGATCGTCCCGGCTGTATTGAAACAACCCGTATTGGGGATTCAACATTTCCCTGGAAAGCAAGTGGAGCCACTCGCGGGCGATTCCCCCATAGTCCAAGCCTTCCTCGCCACGGAACTTAACCATTAGTCGCTTACGCATGTCTTTTGGTCGCATTTTCATTATAAGTCTGCAATTTAGTTGAAAAGGCAGTCAGAATCAGAAGCGAAATCTAGAATAGCCCAATTACCTGTAACTCTCTTCAAATACTTCAGTCCTGGACACCTCTAGTCGACAATGGCCGCTTTGTGGCTGCAGTGCCGTCAACTCAGCTCTCAGCACCTTGAGCTTCGCGACCAAATCTCTTCGGTACTTCGGTAAATGCTCACTTTCACTCAGCAGGCCCTGAAATGGAAATCGTAAATCAGCAACCTGGCAGGTTTTAACACAAATCGGACTTACCTGAGGCAAATCCTCATAAACGCGGGGCCTGGGAGAGACCGGGGCGGCATTCTGGGGCGCCGCAGCCACTACATTGTTAACAACACTAGCAGAAGCTGGCGCTGTTGTAGTTGTGGCCGTGCTAACGCTTAACGGGACTGTGGCAGTGCTGACTGGCGGCTGGCCGTTGTGCTGAACAGCTTGTGGTGTCACTCTCTTAAGAATGTTATTCAGAATTTGCGAGTTTAGGCGGGGATCCGTAAATTGCGTCGTGCGGCTATTGTGATCGACAAAGTAAATCTATCGAGACAGATTAGTTAGTTTCCACAAATGTTGGACAATTCAGCCAAAAATGCTCACTCTGCCTGAAGTGGTTTGCCGCATTTCCCAGCCTGAGGGTAAAGGCCCCAAGTGGTCCAAAGCTAGGCTTAAGGGCGTCAAGTCTTTGGGTATTCTCGGATCATGCCACGTAGAAACTCCCGTTGGGATATGATAGAAGTAAACCTGGCCTTGCTGCGTAGTGCGCAGTTCTAAGTTAAAAGGCAATCGTTTTTAATCACAAGCTTGCCAATGTTGAAATGTGTTCTATGTACCAAATCCCGCCGGTAAGTCGAGCTTCGATCCACTAACGTTCCCATTGGCCGCTGACTGACCCACAGCAGCTGCAACTTGAGCAGCCGCTTGAGCCGCTAATACTGAATTGCGATTGCGACCTCCTCTACGTCTGCTGCTTCCATCGCGCTTTTCCTCTATAGCCCGAACCCTCCTCTCTCTGTTCGTGGGCATCCTTTGAGGACTTTGCCCGTTTGTCTGCGGCCCAACACTGCTGCTCACGCTTGCACTGGGACCTGCGGTTTGGCGCAAATTTAGAGCAATCAATAGACAAATCCTAGCACTTACCTGTAGTGGAACTAGCAGATGCAACCGGGCTGCCACTAACATGACTAGGTTCACTTGCAGTGCCCGGCAAAGCGGTTAAAAGCAGTGCTCTTGATTCGGAAGGAGATGCAGTGACTGCAACATTCACTGCAGCCTGCCTGGATTCGTTATGCTGGGGACTAACCATTGGGGACCCCAAAGAAGCGCTGGACCCAGGCGTTAGAGGTTGGGACATCTCAATCTGGTTATTATTATTCACTGGTTCCGCATCAATCCTGTAAAATCTACCACTTGATACATGAAGTCACTAGAAGACGGCATGATGGCCCTTACATAATCTCGTTATTATTCACATTCCCATTAGCTTCATGATTATGGCCCGATCGGAACCTATTTACAGCCACCACTTTTCCGTTCAGCTGCGGTCGGATCCACTGGGTCGACTTGGTGACGTGATTTACAAAGTAAGGCCGTCCATTGGAGGCCCGTCGCTCCTCCCAGCCTGGAGGCAAATCTTCTACAGGGCCGTTCTGCACGTCGCAGTTGCCATTTTCCGCTGGGGGCGCGTTCAAAGGGCCTCTGATATCGCCCAGAGGACTTACAATGGCCAACGGCGTGCCCCCACAAGGGCCATCACGTGACAGTAAGGAGATTATTATCTGGCCCTTCACCAGCTCGCTGTCGTCTTGGGATGATTTGCACAGGTCCAAGCATTGGTCTGCAAATAGACGATTATTTTATGTGTTTTAACTGCGATTGATGAATAAAGATTAGCTGTATTTGTCGTGTGTTGATGGCTGTAAATGGAGAATTAGAGGATCGGATGGATCCTCAACACGTTTTCTACTTGAACTTGTTTAATTGGCGAGTAGGTTACATCGAAACAGAGCACGAAACTGCATTGTAAATCTTGCATAATGCATAGTGATAGTGTTAACAACAGAAAGTTCTGCACACTTGAGTGATATTAAATAATATAATTCGTTCACTTTCACTGTTGCACCGCTCAACTCTAATTCAATGGTAATACTAATTAATGCGAAAAAGGTAAATTGATTCATCGCATGCACATCTAGAATATCGAAGTTTCGCAAAAAATAATGATTTCCTCGCAATTTGTTGGAATTGAAACATTCGGCAATCCAGGACGCGTTTCATTTTTTTCAAACGATTTCTGTTGTAAGTTACTGTCTCATAATAGTACAATTGCAAAATCCTCTTATACATCTAAAACGTGTTTAGAGTCATAAATACTTTCCACTATTGTCCTGATTAAGTAATCCTGCCTACAATTGGTTTATGATTCGTTATATTGCACTAATAATAATTATGGCTAACAGTACTTTGTTATTTCCTGATAAAGCGAAGGTTTTTAATTAATTAATGATGTTTTCCCAAGATTTGCTCATATAAGAAGAATTTTGGAAAATAAGTTAACTAAACGCCCCAGCGTCATTAGACCCAAATTGAAATGTTTACAGAAAACTGTTGCTTTTTAAATCTCGAATTAAGCACCAGCAACAGACCCGATAGAAGATTAACAAAAAGAGCGTTTGCTTGCTACTGATGAGATACAATACTAATTGAACTTACATCCTGTATCCTTCAGCCTCTGAATCAACGAGTTAACGATCCTCACACACCCCAAAAATCCGCTACCCTGTCTCTTGTGCACTTTGCGATGATTCCACACTGAAATAGTGATGGTGTCGTTCTTGCCAATGTACAGGTCGTAGTGTGAATTCCATTTCGGATCCAAGGTGTTTTTCACCGTTTCGGTTGAGTGGCACTGCCCACTTCCGTCCACCGATATCTTAGCAAATGGATCGGGAAGCCCTAAAACCCATGTACACTTAGAAATGCTGTTGACCACTTGTTTACGCCTTCAAGGCTGTAGTCGCGAAAGCCACTTACGAAACAGATCTTTCCGCACTAGGTTCCTGGCGCAAAGAACTGCAAAAGACACATTTCAATTAGTAATATTACATCACGAATTAATAAACTTGGGAGGTCCCTTTTGATTGAGGCCATATTGTTTGACAGTTGCGGAAAATTGGCTTTTAAATGAATTTCCGGTCGTTAAGGGTGGTTTATGTGGCGCCCCGCCAATACTCACTGGTTAAACGGATCTTCTGTGCCCCATTTCGACGTGTTGACGGTGTACCGGACATCGCAAAATAAAAGAAAATAACTATCAACACAACACCACACACACATCATTTACAATTCGCCATTTTCTACTAGCCGATTAGTTTTGGCATGTGACATTTCACTGAAAAACCGCTTGAGGCGCCATCCTTGCGAAGACTCACTCAACATTTTTAAAATATTTCTAATTATTCCTTTTGTACAGAATGTCTCAGACTCTCAGCACGTGAACAATATTCCTCTTCATTTAGACAGACTCACTAACAATTCTTTTGCTAATTGAACAGTGTTTTGGCCCCTTTTAATTGATAATCAAGAAAACTTCCCTATGACACTGACTTGTTTTCTATGTTTTCGACTTGTCATTGCCCTGACAGATCAGCCATCACATCAGGCTTTGTGTAATAAGTTCTGGTAGTAAAGTAATAAATGTAATTGTGACGTTCCAAATATCCACCACATTTACGGCCCTTTATGATTTACCGCGAAGGATCTATTTGCTGAAAATAACTAAACGGTAAAAACTTACAGTAAGCTGCACAATGGATTATCCCAACGAAAATGGAGGCTTAGGCCTTACTAGCGACCAGACAGAGAAAGTGCTGCAATTCCAAGACCTGACAGGTAACTTAAGTGTTTCTCTCAATTCCAACATGCTCCAGTTCGTTTCTTTAGGCATTGAAGACATTACAATATGCCGGGACGTTTTGCAAAGACACCAGTGGAACTTGGAAGTGGCAGTCCAAGAGCAGCTGAATATTCGCGAAGGGAGGCCCTCGGTCTACGCCACTGAATCCAGGCCTCCTGCAGTGGTCAATGATCTCTTGGGGCAGCTAATATATTTCGCCCCACCTACGGACGGGTCAGGCTCGGGATTTAAGAGATATTTTAGGGCGATTGTCGGGTTCATGTGGAACGTTTGCTACAGCACTCTTATTACGGTGTTACAGCTAACAAGGCGATTGCTAGGTAGGCATCTTGACTGAAATCAAGTGTTAGTAATAAACAGCACTGTTTTTCAGGCTTGGAATACAGACCTAGAACGGATCCACTGCAGGAAGTCATGCAGTTTATCCAGACATATGAGGAGAAATATGGCTGTGAACATCCAGTGTTTTATCAAGGGACTTTTGCACAGGTGTTAAATGATGCAAAAAGAGAGCTGCGATTTCTGGCAGTTTATCTACACGATCCAGACGCAGTGGACGCAGACCCATTTTGTCGTCGCACATTATCAAATCCTGAAGTTGTCCGATATATTAACAGCAATTTCCTGTTTTGGGCGTGCTCGGCCACTTCGGAAGAAGGCAAGCGTTCAATGACTGCAGTTAGGTGTGGATATTTTCCCTTCATGGCACTACTGGTGCTCAAAGAGAACAGGTAAGCACTCGTTCATCTAAAAATCCGTAAAAATGTCACATGTTTCTGCAGGATGACCATAGTTGGCAGATTGGAAGGTCATTCAGAGCCTGATCTTTTGCTGCAAAGGATGAGGACCATCGTGAACGAATTTGAGGTGAATCTGGTCCAAGCAAGAGCCGACCGATTTGAGCAGAGCATAAACAGGTTGGCGATATTAAGAGTTTTTAATTGTCCTCACTAAGGCAGGCGATTGTTTAAAGGACATTGCGCCAGCACCAAGACGCAGCCTTTTTGGAAAGCCTAAAAGCGGACCAGCTGAAGGAGCAGCGAAAGGAAGAACGCAAAAGGGCCGAAGAAGAGGCAAAACGGCAAATCGAGCAGGCAAGAGGGAGCGGGAATTTCAAGTTGCAGTCACTGTATTAACGGTTTTTTTATACAGGCAGCTAGAGAGGAAGAGGAACGAAAACATGCCTTGCAGAAGGAAAAAATTGATTCAGTCGACAAGGTGCCTTCAGAACCGGACTTATCACACCCTGATGCGGTTCATGTGGTGTTCAAGCTGCCCTCAGGGATGCGTCTAGAGAGAAGATTTCTGAAATCGCACTCGCTAGAGGTGAGCACTACTTGCTAAGCCTTACTGCAACATTTCCTATAGTGAATATAATCTCATGTTTTCCCTTAGCACGTCTTCTACTTCGTCTTCTGTCACCCTCATTCTCCCGATTCGTTTGAAATAACCACGAACTTCCCTAAGCGGGTGCTAAACTGCCGACCAGCGCAACAATTGGGGAAAGTCCAAACTCTCGAAGAAGCCGGCCTTAAAAACCGAGAAGTGCTTTTCATCAACGACTTGGATGCATAAGAACCGCAAAAAATACCCAAATTCCCTGTATTATACAGAGCAAGTGGTTTTAAAGAAGTGAAAGTGAAATTCTTGTGAGAAACTGGCAACTGACTAAAGCACACGATACATTCCCCTTTTTCGAATATACTGTGCCCGCCCATCTGGAGAAGTCTGCTAATAACAACCATCAAAGCGGTCATTGCTAAAGTATCAGACTGGATGATGTCTTTGATTGTATTCCTTGTACCAATGTGATACCACTGCACCTTAGTTTGGTCATTTGTGACTTCAGTGCGACTCTTGATGGACATATTCGCGTTCTGTCAGGTAAAGTATTTAAGCCTAAGTTTTTGATTTTTTATATGGGAAACCCTTGTAAGATTCCTATTATTGTTGTGGTCAGTAGACTCACTTCCTCAGTGCGGATGGTGATTGATACTTGCATCGCAAACTTAGTAGTTTTTGGCAAGAGGTCACTTACCGAAGATGTTAAGCGTTGTGATTTTTCAGTTAAACTGGGTGTATGTGCATTGACAATAACATGTTTTCACTGTTCTACACCTGGTATTCGGTTAATTGTTAATATAGTTTAAAGAAGCATTTACGTAATTTGTAATTTTTATAGCTTGCTTTGTCTGGTTGGCCCTCGCTAGGGCCAAAGAATGAAATATTTTTAATACCAAAAGCTTAGTTTGTATATAATGTAAAGGAAGTACATTCTGCCTTCGGTTTATCCTCACTACCAACCACTGGGTAGACGAAGGTCCGAAAGTGTTTAGGAATGAGTTGGACAAATCCTAAACTTTCCAGGAATAAATATTCAACATCCACAAGTTAAATGTGTGTTTTATTACAATTCCTTCACGTTCAGCCTAACTCTATACACCTAATCAATTTCTCCAATATACACCATTTTATCGCTTCCTACTGACACAACGATTGGCTCGTTGGGGTGGAAAGCCACGCTATTCACACAGCCACTGTGTCCAGGCAGTTTGTAGATGATTCGCCTGGACGAGGTGTCCCAAATGTACACGAATCGATCAGCTGAGCCTCCGCTCACCTAAAGCAACATTCCCGTAAGCATGTAAGCAACTTTAACCCAATCACAGGCCTTGCCTTATTGCCATCTGGCGACCAGGCACATCTCAGCAGGTTCTTCTCGAAGTTGTGCTGATGTCCACTGAAGATTTTCACGCATCGTTCCACTGGAGCGAAGGGCCTGACGTCCCAAATTCGCAAAGTGTTGTCCATTGAATTGCTCAGCAAGTATGAGCCATCGTTGCTCAACGCCAATCCTGTGATTGTATCCGTGTGTCCTTTCATGGCGTAAGTGATTTCCTTCTTGCGAGTATCCCAAACCTGCGGTAGAACTTTGCTTTAAACAGCGTGATCTTTAATGGACCCAGTCAAGTAAAACCTTAATATCATTGTCGACGCCTCCACTGAAAACAGTCTCGGCTGTGTCGTTAAAGCAAACCGCCGTTGTTTGATAAACAGAGTTCATGGTTCCGGCGCATTGTTTCTTCCTTTGGTCCCATAGTCTGACTGTACTGTCGTCACCCCCTGACACGATCATCTGGGGCCCCCTTCGGGAGGGTTGTGCGCAATTTGCGAACGCTGTATGTCCTGAAATGATTGCTTCTTTAACTGTTCGTTAAAATTCAGTTAAGCAATTACTGCACCTTTGAATCGCTTCACTCTTTGCCCAGTAACAATATCCCATAGCCCCAACGTGTAGTCGGTAGAAGCAGTCACAATGTTGGCTCCATCGGTCGTAAAGTGCAGCTCCGTTATTGATCCTGTATGTCCAGTCATTACGGAAATATTGTCGCATTCCCCATAGACGCCCCATAGAACTAGAATTAGAGGGTTTGAGCGACTTCTGCAATTGATGTGAGGGCAAACTTACATATCTTGCGGTCGAAACCGGATGTGGCAAAGTACTGTCCTTCGGGGTGGAAATCTACCGAAAATATTTCGCCCTCATGGCCCTCACAGACCATAATAGGGGCAAAAAGGTTCGACGTACGTGCAGGGGCCTGAAATAATGTTACGAGTTGCACTTTCTTGCTATTTGCATCGGACTTTTCGTATTATTAGGCCTCTTCAGAGGTCCAATAGAGAAAGGAGCATTTCCTAAGTAAAATGAACTACTATCGAACTGTTGATGTGTTGCATAACCTCAATTTGAGAAATGTTTCATCAAAACTAGGTTTTCATGGGCTTTCGTGAACTTTTTAAGAGTGTAATCATGATTTGTTAGTGTGCAAAACACGTTTTGCAGTAAGTGGCACTCAGCAACCGTATTTTCCCGTGTAAACACCCGGGTTGATGTGCTGCAAACCAGACATTTGAAAATGCTTATGAACAATTCCCCAGACTTTTCGCTTAAACTGTGTTATTTTAGAGGCACTCTAAACAACATAAAGCAGGTTACGAACTGGATTTCCAATCGCATCCACTACTTACAGGCTGAAGCTGGCTGACTTGTTTGTTCTTGCTAGTGAGGGCCACGTCTTGTTTCGACTTCTTCTGCACTGGCACGAGAGCCGATTCATCGGCTTTCCTCTTATTATCCGCTACCATGTTGAAGGAAAATGCGATAATAAGAAACCGCAAGTTTTGTTTATAATAGAAAAAAATGCACAGAAGCAGTACACAAATCACGGAGGTTAAAGATTGGAATTTGACAATGTCAATTGTCAAAACATAATGAATGATGTTGCCGCGATCTTGCTATCTCTCTTGGACACATACTTTTACACAACTTTTCATCTATTATTCATTTGGTTTTTATGAAGACATGGCAACATGTATATTTGTAATGGGGGTTTATTTTAAAACCCCCTTTTAGGTTTAAACTTTTACTCACTAGCAACGCATGAAACTTAAAAGCATGAGCACAGAAAAAATGTACACTTAGCTTAGTAAATGTCGGTCTCATAATCGACGTTTTCACGCCTTTTCTCCATCTCACTGTTCTGTTAAATCGCACACACAATCATTTAGCATAATAAAAACAGGTTTAATTATGCAGTAATTTATTCACAAGACTGCTTAATCAATGTCATATTAAAGACTAAATGAATAACTTATTCTCATCTCTGCAAAGACGCACACTGATTATATTTACAAGCTCATTTCCTCACCCTGGAAGCCAATGCTTCCGCTAACGTAGAACTGTGAAAAAACAATAAAAACAGAACGCAACTCACAAAACATCTTGTCCACAAAAAGAAGTTGCTATCACAAACTGCGTACCACTTTGTCAACCTTCCAATGTCTTTGAATTCAAAACGCCGCCCAGTGATGAGAAGACAAGCCGACAAACCCGTTAGGAAATAACGTTTATTTATGGCCACCTTTTAATAGTCGTGTTGGTGATGTGCTCTGGTTTCAGCCCTTTGGAAAATCGCTCCCACATTTTGAAGTAGAGCAGTTCGAGACCTTCCGCGTAAATTTTGCAGTCGAACAAGGGCGACGTCGATCTAGCGGTCCATACCTTGTGCCGCATCGCCTTCAAGCTGCAATTAAATCATGTAGTTAAACATACATGCAAACAACGCCAACAAAAAGTTGCTCACAATTCTTTGTCAGTGCCCAAGCGGATTGCGATGCTTTCATACTCTTGTCTGCTTCTAGCGATCAACTCCGGACACCCCAGAGTGTTTAATTGACTGGCTGCAACTCTTGAAGCAAGAGTTTCGCTCGGGAACGTGACCACGGGCGTACCAGTCCATAAAACATCCATACTGAAAAAAAAAATTCAAATAAGGACTTGCCAGGCTTATAATGTAGAGCGTTACCTAGTAGTGTGACCATTACATAGTGGCGTATCCAGACAAACATCAGCTAATTGCCCTCGTCTAACGTGTTCTTCTTTGGCAGCAACGTTGCTGAAGAGAATACGGCCAGGAGTCAAACCCAACTGTTGGGCTGTATGCAGTATATTCTGCTCGCCCACTGCCGGAAACCGCAACAACCACAATACCGCATTTGGGACAGCTTTCAAAATATTCGCCTAAGAAAGGATTGATATTAACTTGAGACTTTGCCAATCGGCCAACGACAAAAAACTCACCCACATATGTAAAGTCAAAGGGTCGATTTTATATAGCTGATTGAAGTTGCAGTAGACCACAGCATCATCGGGCAACCCATATTGTTGCCTGGTGGTTATAACGATATTTTGAGGAACTTCCTCGCCAGTAGCGGCTTTGTTGTTGGTCTGCGTGGTCGCCAAGCCGTTTTGCACCAGAACTCCGTTTACGGAAGTCTGGATTTGTCCGGAGGCTATCATATTTTCAATGGGAGTCGTCGTGGGCAACTCAGCAACTTTCAGACTGATTTCCACATCGGGCATCGCAGACTTGACTATTTCCTTCACTTCTTTAATATCAGTGTGTTCGACCAGCGGCGAAAGATCGGTGGCGTTGATGATGGCAACATTATCTGCCAGCCCATTGCCAATGGCGCTCCGATCAGACACAATTAAGCGCTCCTTCAAATGGGGAAACATTTGCTTGTGGTCGCCCACAAAATACGTGTAGGGCATGTAGGCTAGTTTTTCACTGTATTGGCTCGCCAATTCTAGCGGAGATGTAACCACATCAGTTACCAAATAGTCCATAAAACTTGCTCCACTTGTTCCCGGATAACCCAGCCACATTACCTGCAAACGCAACACTGTCAGTCAATTCTTTAAAAAAGTGGGTGACTTTTGGGCGAGAACTAATATGTAACAGCTACTTTTACCATGTATCGACTCACGTAGAGTTTAGCAAGTGGATTTCGTACCTGAACGGGTGCTGGTCGCAAGGCAAATATCTCATTACGCGCTCCTTTAGTATATCCGTTCATGTTCACTAAAATGTGAATGTTGTCTGAGTAAATGCGGTCGGCAGCTTTGCCGTTGCACGGCTCTCCTGATAAATCGATAAAGTGTTCACACTCCCTGGAAATTTTGCTTCTGAACGTGGTTCCGTCGTCTTGACTCAAAGCGTAGCAGAACACTTCGATCTGTAACAATCAAAAGTTAACACATGTGCTGATTTTTTTCATGGGGTTACTCACTCTGGTCCTATCATGCAAACCAGGAACCGATTGCATCAAGTGAGAAGTTGGATGGTTGCCGAAGTCGCTGCTCACATACCCAACGCGAATCCGCCCTTTCAATTCAGCCAGAAATCTATATGGCGGCTTGTGAAGAACAGAAATTTTCTCCAAGCATAGATTGGCATGTCTAGCAGCAATTGCCTATAAAAAACCGCCTGGACGTAAGAACGCGATTACTTCTAGAAATCGGCTTTGCTTACCTTTCGGAAATCATGAGAAAGCGGGTACAGCATAGAATGATGAGGATGCACCGACGGCAAACGGTTTTTCTCCAATTGATCCGCAACAATGTTTACCAATTTCTTCATTCTGCCTTCGTAGTCGGTCCAATCGCACACGATCTGTAAGCAATGGGCCAAATTGCAATACGCATCTGGAAAATCCGGCTTCAACTTTAATGCCGTGCGGTACGATTGGATGGCTTCAGGAATGTTGCCGGAATCTTTGTGAATACTGGCCAAATTGCTGTGAGCATCGGCAAACGCCGGATTGATCTGAATCGCCCTGGTATAGCATTGCAGTGCGCCAGCAACGTCTTGCATCTCCTTCAGTGTATTTCCTTAAAACGCACATTTACTAATTAGCATCTAAATCCCAGCTCCGACCCAATTCCGCGCCTACCCATGTTGGAATACGCGTCAGCAAACGTCGGCTGGATTCGAATGGCTTCTTTGTAATGCATCAGTGCTTCGTTCAGTTTGCCCTGTTGTTGGAGTACAGAAGCCAAGTTACTGTGAGCGGCGGCAAATTCCGGAAACACTTCCAGGGCCTTCAAATACAAACGAGTCGCTTCTTCAATCAATCCTTGCTCTCTTTTAATGTTGGCCAGATTGTTTAGAGAGTCTGCATGGCTTGGGCATAGTCGCAATGCCGTATTGTAGCAATCTTCAGCTTCCGAAACCTGCGACATAATACTAAGTCAGCAACAATTTGGAATTGCAGGCGATTCAAGGAAAAGTTGCACAATTTGAGGTTTTAGTTAAATTTAGAACAGTTTTGCTGATTTTAACGCACCATTGTGAGAGACAATTTGCAAATCACAGAACACCCGATGCAAACCAACTGACTAAAAGGTTACTCCATTCAGCTGTAATCAATCAATTGGCGGCGTGGGTGAAATCCAACATCCAAAAAACGCACTCAGCACAAGTGTACCGGCCAAATCTTTTATTCGCTTCAAAATTCAATGGAGTAACCTTGCATCTAATATGAGGGCGGGGTCCATTAAAAATAGATCACGTAAGAGGGATCAATTTAAAATCAACTGGACGCATGAAAAGGTCTGTGCTTTCATCAACTTTCTCCAGTTAAAATCGGACGGTTTGGTAATTACCTGGCCCTTCTCCTTGAGCGCATTCGCCAAATTGCAATAAGCATCGGGAAAATTGGGTTGCAGCTCAATGGCCCTTCGATACGTATCAATGGCCAAGTCGATAAGTCCTTGTTCGTAGTATACGCATGCAAGATTGCCGTGCACCACTGCATTGTTTGGGGATAAGTTTAACGCCCTTAGATATGCTGCTACCGCCCTAAAAAAATCAAATCGAATCATTAATCTACAATGTTGCAGATCTTTTCTAATTTCAAGACAAGGGAACTAAACCTATTAAGTCAATCATGTGTAAATTGGGGCAAAGTTGTTTTGCCGGGGAAACTCACAGGCGTACAATCGATTCAGACACAGTTTCCACTCGCATTAATGTTATTGTCGATTGCCTCTGTTTATTTAAACCTGATGATGTTCCTCAATAAGCTTTAATTGCAAAACACGCAGCCCTGAAATAACGTTAGGAACAGCAGTGCTTCCTGTCGGTCTTCATTACATCAACATGACGGGTCTTATTAGCGTTCTAATTTGTTGATTGAGTTACAAAGTTCGGTCGGAGAAGCGCAATTGCGATGGACTCCCCCACAAATTGCTAAAAATAACCCATTAATAACTGGGCGTGCAGATCTAACGTCAGAGTTTTCCACTCTTGCTATATTATTGTAACTCTTCGTGAGGTTTCCCTTGCACATTGCCATTTTTTGCGGCTTTTAATGCTTCCAAGGAAAATACAAATGGTTTTATGATTGATACCATGCCACATACTGTAAGGAATTCTTCCATTCTTCATACAACTGTAAATGGAGGGTAAAGAAGGGGAAAACACGTCAATAAAATTAATGTTTCAGCCCTCAACTGTTGGGTAAGAATAAAATAACAAGAACAAGATCAGAACGCTAGATTACCAGAATTTTATTGACTCGAGTCTGAAGCGTGAGTTTTCATGTTAAAACGTTAAAAACTAACGAATATCAGGCATTTGATGGGGAACTACGAAATCGAGAAAGACCAATCCAGCCAACGGGGGAAGAGTACATTTCAACAGAAACGCAAGCCAAGAAACTTTTCTCTGTGAATGCGAAAATTCAATTTTTTCGGCAAAAAAACAATGCGGATGAGCTCACCTTTTGAGTTGGCGTTTGACCCACCCCACACACCCACCACTCTGTTCATCCGCATCATTCCACTCTTCGTCAGGGGGTGTGGGAATGCGAATGATCGTGTAGACCACCACGCATTGAAAATCCATCCCATCGATGGGTTTACCGTGGGCATGTCGAAGAATCGCGTGCGAAAACCGTCAACTGACGAGACCCGAAAGCCGGTCCGCGCCGTGCATCGGCCCGAAGACGACTGGAACTGGGCGAAAATGGGAAAAATCTCTCGAATACGCGAAATGTGGGCCAGAGAAAATGACAAGTGGGAGTTTCCAGACGGAAAGGCTAACGCACGACGGCGGGGCAACGACAAGAGACGATCTCTATCGTCCTAGTTTTAATGGGAAGCTCCTTTTTTCTAAAATCCCATTTCAAGCATCTTTTTTCCCAATTAAATTAAACCGCGCCTAAAAATACTAAATCAGATTTTCGCTGTTCTCAAATCCAGTCAGGTCTTCTCGAAGGCAGGCCTGGCGCCGATCCAGGGCCCACTCAAACCCGCTTTTATCGGCAGACAGAGGGACCGTTGATATTCAATATTTTCGTAAAACGGCCCGTTTTTCTATTCGCCCATTGCCAAGAGGACCGGAACATAACGATTCTAGCCAGTCATGGGTTGTTATTGAGATTGGCTTAATGATGGATGGTTGATATGAAAAACACCCGACGAGAATCGATGGAATTTTCGTATTAAAGCGGAATATAAATTGCCGAAATGTTATCGACAAAGACTATCACCAAACAGTCGATGTTCTTGTTTAATAGAAACTAACAACGGGAAACTAGTCAGTTGCACAACTCCACCTAAGTTTGAACGTATAAATGAAAACTTCCGCATGTGCCTAAAACGCAAAAGCTTGCGGATATCAAGCAGGAAGTAGATGAGAAGGGATTTACAAATTGCTAATAAAAATTGCAAATGCTCCGCACTTTGCTGTTGGCTTTCAGCGAAATTCGTCGATGTCCTCCCTAACTTGATTTTAATCATCGGTTCTCTCTATTACCCCAAAGTATCTACAAAAAGCTTATATATAAGTTGGCAAAAGGTTGGCAAACATCCAAATTACCCCATTGTCTGACGTATGTTTGAGTTGAATAACGTAGTACTGATTAATCTTATACAAGTTCGTTTGCCAATATTCCGCTTTGCTTAGGCAGGGAACTGGTAAGTGATGTAAGATCGTATTTTAGCGCCGCAGGAACCAAGGTTTTCATTGGAAAATTTCCATCACAGATAAACATATCGAGGAATTATTTACTGATAGATAAACCAGCGCAAACACGAAACATTTTTTTCTAATCCGATAATTGGATTTGTTCTTGTTCAACTAGGAAATGGTTCTTCAATTTGTTGAGGTAAACCGTTTCAATCCGAATCGAACCAGGAAAAATGTTGAATCAAGCCAAGTCGGCCGGGGGGGCAAAGCCCTGGACCGATTTCAACATCTGGCTATTCTAGTCCGGACTCTAGTGCCAAGACACACACGGTTTTTTTTTTAACTATAAACCTTTGGACATGATAAGACAGAGTCAGTTTAAAAATCATCAAGCAAGAAAACTATGAAAAACTCACCTGTCGAAAATCCGCGCTTCTTTCAGCACATTGCCTAAATTGATATAAGCATCGAGGAAGTTGGGATCTAAAGCCACTGCCTTTTCGAAGTGGTGAATCGCCAGCCAGATCTCGCTTTGCGCATTGAACACACAGCCCAGATTACTCCACGCCACCGCAAAATCGGGCCTGGTCTCGATCGCCTTCAGATAGCATGCCTAATTGGTCAATTGAAACACCCAAAAAAAAAGAAAAGAAAATTTCCGGTTAGTCGTTGTCAAGGAAAAACAGCCTATAGTTCGCTAAGTTGTTCGCATTGCGCGCAGTCTGTGAGTGCCACATTCCCCAATTTCCAGGATGGATGGATTAACGCCAGTGCTGCACATTGCTACGCTTACGCATGTTCTTCAGCTGGAAACAGATGTCTGGATTAAATCGCTCACGGCGAAAACACATTGGAATCAGGAATCCAAACATTCGCCTCCAGCCAATCAATTGTCTACGCTCAAACGGCAACAGCCCTACGCAAAATCGCCACATAATAACACAAAGCGTTTGAAGATCATGAATGACTTTGAACTTACGCAGTAGTGCCGAAGGGTGAAAGAAACTAAAAACAAAAACATTGAGAGATACAGAGGCAACATCGTAAGTGTCGTCTCGATCTCGCACACTGGTTTTATTTACTTTACCTGCTCTACATATACAGGGCCTTAATGAAATCAACGCCAACGTAGAACCGCACACTGGATAGTGGTCGTTATCGCAGTAGTACCTGTTATCTAACGGTAAATTTGAGTTTAATTATCTCTCAAACGTTTGGGTTTACTAAACTACACAGGTAGAAGAGGGGAGAGCGAAAGGTCTTGACCGACCTGCAGTTGTCGCCAAAAAGCTAATAATTTTACCTGGAAATTGCACAGATTCTTATTATTAGTCTTGCAGTATCTTAGGACATAAATATCTTACGACTATTTGGTAAAGGATGCAAAAGCCCCAGGCAAATAGGGGCGCTCTAATAAACAAAACAGAAACGTGTTCTTAATTTTCTTTGATATAGAAAAGCGTGATTGTGGCAATTTCCAGACGTGCTCTTTTTCTGGTTCTGTGTAAAAATACATTAGGCAAACCCTATTTTTCCGGTAGACACGGTTGGCCAAATACAGGATGCGCCACTCAAAGCAAACATCCACTGTGTATAAAAAAAATGATGGTTGGATGGAGCACCCTGGACTGGAAACGACTTTTGTGACGCTGAACTGACTCTAGACTTTCTGCCTTCTATTAGGTGATAAACAGCAAACTCAACTGAAAACTAGTCATAAAAGTCGGGCCAGAATGTGTTTTAGCCAATAGATAGTTTAGAGTTGTTTGCGCCAAAGCGCACCTGAAAAAGTACAGCAAAGAACCATCTATCTGGTGTCTTGTCTATGAACAACAACAGACCATTAGGATGATTATTTGCTGCAGAAAAACAAGCAGTCCGTCCTTCTTCATCCAGTCATCCAATGGTCTAAAGAAGCACAGCGCTGTTTTCGAGCATAACGATCTGTTTACGCCAAGTGCTACGCATCAAAACAATTACGCAAATAATACCAACTAATTACGAAACAAAAACGCCCTACAGTACTGCGCCAATTAAACTGTGTACGCCAATCTCGCAAAATCTGTCCTCAAATCAAGGATTATTGACCAAAACACTTTCTGGCAATTCAGTGAGGGGGTTGGATTCGATATCTAAGCGATTAAACTGATCAGACACTTACCTTAGCTTCGTCTAAGCGCCCCAAAGCTTTCAGGAGGTTGCCAAGATCGCTACGCACGCAATAAAGGTCCTGGCCAAAACAAACAGGGTTAGCAATGAGATTTACATCAAATTTTCCAAGAACGCTCACCGGGTTGTATTGCAGAGCAGTAATATAAGCTTGGACAGCTTGTTCCATATCGCCCGCGGCCACTAGAGCTGCCGCCAAATTAATGTACCCGTCTATAAAATCCGGCTTCAATCGCACAGCATGTCGATAATTGTCCAGCGCTTCTTGCAGCTGATTCCTCTCTTTGAAAACGTTGCCCAGATTACTGAAAAATTATTCAATAAAACCATTTGGAAAGCAAACGATTCGCTAATCAGGTGTTTTTCCACTGAATTTGTATGAGTAAACAATGTGAGCCCGCTAATTTATGAGAGATAGTCAAATTGTACAGGGTGCATTCAATAGAACACCGTGTTTAAAGTTAGCTTTAGGAAATACGTTGGGAAACGCCTCAAAATGTGGATTTTTTATATACTTTTGCAGCTTCTGTTACAGAAGAGAACCGTGGATCAACAAGTACATACCTGTATGCTTCAGCGAGCAATGGGTTTTGCTTGATAGCGAGCGTGCTGAAATGTGCCGACTTTTCAAGTCTTCGGCACTGGAAGTGAATGCTGGACAACAGTAGCAGAACTCCAGTATTTGCCTGATCTTGTTTCCATAACTGCATACAGTGCCGCTCTGCATTGTCGTAGTCTCCGGCCTGGTATTCCCGATGAGCCAGCTCCAAGAGACCTGCAAAAGACCGATGCAAAGATTCAAATTCTCTCATTTAAACCTAAGGGTCTAAGCATAGTGGCACACTCACA